CACTACGCTACCAGAGTTCCCATGATGTAAATATTAAGCAATATTTATTTTGAGAAAGTGGAGGAGGGACAATGAAGGTTGTGTAAGAAAATACAATTCTTATCTATCATAAAGGGCATCAGTAGATGATGTAGATAAATCAGTAGATAAATAAATAAATAAATAAAGCAATATAAGCATACTATTTTAGAACAAGGAAGTAGTTGCCAGAACAGACAGTAGTTGCCTTTAAACAGCTAGACTGTCAGATTAGGAAAGAGTGTGCAGGTTACATGAGTTGTTTTTTCTCATAAGCCTTTCAGTGTTACTTGATTTTTAACCATTCGTTTCGTTTTAATTTAAAAAAACTAAATGAAAAAAGAAAAGCCTGTAATCTGTTCTTTAAAAGTAGTATTTGAAGTGTTCTTTCTCCATGATTTAAGAATGGCATAGTTTTGACATTCAGAGACTTTGATTGATGATCATAGGCTGAGTGAATCTGCAGTGGGAAGAACTCATGATAATTGTGATAGGTTACTGTAGACTTAAAAATCTGCATGTTGCCAAAGTTATGAGATTTTTCTCTGAAACTTGATATAGTAGAAAATATGCTTCTTGTCTTGTTTGAAAATAATAACCAACAAAAAACATGCCCTTTTCTTTTCCCAAACTGTAACTTAAGAGAAGGCAACTTTTTAATAAAGATTTGCTGACTGTGGTGTTTATTAGTTTAATATCTTTGATCATTTTTAAGAATGAAATACCATGTTTAATCAATTGACTTTATATGTTCGATTTTTTGAGAAATATCCTGAGAGCATTTGAAGAGTGTATTCTTGTTTATAAGATAGAGTATTTGATAACTATATATTTATATCTTTTTAATTCTCATTTATTGTTCTTGATATGTTAAAAACTTAGAGAAAGGAATGTTAAAGTCTCTGATTAGTGTGTACGTGGGCTGGAACATTTCTTTATTCATATTTCCTTATAGTTCTAAAAGTTTTTCCACTGAGAATGCTGTGGTTTTAGCAGAGTTTTTTTTTTTTTAACTGTTTTAACCCACTGCCATCAAGTCGATTCTGACTCATAGCGACCCCCATTGGGTTTCCAAGATTGTAAATATTTACAGAAGTAGATTGCCTCATCTTTTTCCCATGGAGCAGCTAGTGGGTTTGAACTGCTGACCTTGTGGTTAGCAGCCAAATGCCTTACCCACTGTGCCACCAGAGCTCCTTTTGACTATTTTAGTTGTGGATTATATCTTACATCAGTTTAAAATGAGCTTTTGCTCACTTTTAATGTTTTTGACTTAAATTTTACTTTAATCAATATTGATATTTTTATCATACTTTCTTTATATTTGCTTGCCTAGAAGATTTTTTTTTCCCCAATTATTTTCAGTGTGTGTCTCATGAATAGGACATAGTTAAATTTAGTGTAAGTTTATTCTTCCTTTAGAAAAAATTTTGTTTCTAACATTATGGGAATATCTTATCTTCTTTAAAAATGTTAAAAAAAAATATTGGGTAAAACAAAAAGTAAAGGTTCTCTGATGATACCTTACTCATTTTCCCTCTTTCCAAACTCATTTGCTAGGGGTACTAGCTGTTAAAAGTAGAGGATCAGTGAAAAAGGGGAAGGCTCTCAGCAAGATGGATTGCCACAGTGGTTGCAGTGATGGGCTCAATCATAGCAAAACTTGTGAGAATGGTGCAGGACCAGAGACTGTTTCATTCTGTTGTACATAGGGTTGCTATGAGTTGGAAATGACTCCATGGCACCTATCAACAACAGTTCATGGTCATGGGAGGCTTTGGTTTTTATTAGCACAATTTAATTTATTAACAGTTCATCCTATTTCTATGATCTTATTTAATGCTGTTTTAAAGTGCTTTCTTTATATTTCCTACTTTACCTCTCTTGCTAATATTACAAGTTGTGTATGTGTGCATGTGTGTGTATGGGAAAAGGGGAGAGAGAGAGAGATACGTGGCACTTATACATGTTTTATTTATTTATTTTCCTGTTCTACTACTTGTTTTCTTAATAGCAATAAAAACACATTAATGTACATATATATAAACCTATGTCAAGAATATAAATATTATGTATTCTTTTTCTCCATGTAAGATGCAATTCCATTATTTCCAAACCTCCATGCCCTATTTTTTTTGTTGGGAAAATACTGACTTTAAATTCCAGGTTATTATTTACATAGATAGATCTTTAAGGTCTTTTGTTTTTCTGTTTTTTATTAAGTTCTTAACTATGCCAACAAAATTTATGTACAAAAAAGACAGCAAATATTTGGTATGTGTTCCTATACTGACACACCTTGAACCAGACTTCTTGTTGTTGTTGTTGTTAAGTGCCGTCGAGTCATTTCCGACTCATAGCGACTCCATGCACAGCAGAATGAAACACTGCCCGATCCTGCGCCAGCCCCACAATCCCTGCTATACTTGAGCCCATTATTGCAGCCACCGTATCAATCCATCTCGTTGAAGGCCTCCCCCTCTTTCGTCGACCCTCCACCCTACCAAGCCAGACTAACAACTGATAAAATGAAATGTGACATATTTTGTATAGCCATAACTTTGTATCTGTTGGTATGGTCTGGGCACCTAACACCTTAGTTCTAATAAGGCAGTTGGAGACTATCCTTTCTGGCAAGCCTCCATCTAAGGCTGGGCTATGGACACTTTGAGCAGGGTAATAGTTTTACACTACTTCAGACTTATATTTTTAATGAATTTTTTCAACATTTATTTAGTAAAGAAGCTAAATATTGGGTGAGGAAAATATGGAAAAGAACTCTTTTTTTTTTTTAAATTGTGATTTGGGTGAAGATTTGCAGAGCAAATTCACTTTCCATACAGCAGTTCACATATACTTTGTCTCATGTCATTGACCACAGTTTACCACAATGCAACAGCTCCCCTCCCACTTCCTCCCCATAGTTACCTCTTCCCAGTGACCATCCCTCCATACTCTCCTGCCCCCTGAGCTGTCTCCCTGTGCATAAGCAGCCCTTCCTTCTCCCATGATTGTTCTCTCCAAGGCATGTATCTACTTGAGGTAAATGTTTAACTCACATGCCTGTATTTTGTTTGGCTGGAAACCACAGGTGTGGGTTCAATTCCAGACCTGAAGGGCAGCTAGGGGCCATAGTCTCAGTGGTTCCACCAGGCTCTATCGGACCAGCAAAACTGGTCCTGCTTTTTTTTTTTCCCAAATGATTTTGAGTTTTGTTCCACATTGTTCTCCCTGTCTATCCAGCATCTCCTACATAGATCCCCTTCCAAGTGGGTGACAGTGGAAAAGAACTCTTAAGCTTCTTTTTATTGTCCCAGGTAGTTTACCTTTGGTTTCAAACTTGCATCATGAAGTCAGTAAACCAGAAATCCTGTAGTTAACTTCCACCTGCCATCTTTTAATGGGTGGCTGTTAGTGTCGGGGATTGTGGGGATGGTGTTTGGGAGAATGGTCTTACTCTCTTACTCTAGCAGTTTATCCCATATATAATATGGGAATTAGCTATTCCTTGACAGTTTGAAAGAATTCACCAATAAATAATTCCTTCCAGTTTAGTTCTTCCCATCCTACAAGGTGTACAATGTTGGTCAGAACTCAGAACACCCTTTTCTACTCAAGACTTGAAATGTTTCTGCTCCCTAAAGCAAATCTGCCAGATCTGAACACATTTCATTTTATTTCTGTCATCTTAATAAATTCTTCAAGTATCCAGTGCATATCAGTTATTAAAAGAAAAGTGTGCTTTTAGTTGAGTAGGGAGTCTTGGTAAATAACTTCTGTAAAAACCTACGTATATATGAAAAAAGTATTTTGAATTCTGTATCCAGGAGAACTGGGTATGGCACAGGTAAAGCACAAGTGGAGTGACTTTTTACAGTAGAGTCTTAAGTACCTTTTGAATTTTAATCATATAATTTATTTCTTATTTAAAAAGGAATTTTGAATTACTGGAAGAAACCAAATTTGGGGATCTTCTGACTCTAAGTACAATTCTAGCCAAACCAGTGCATTTTTAGATTAGTAAAGACATCTATTAATGTCTCATTTTAGGTTTGTTCTGTAATTACTATTTATTTCACTATAGCATTTAAATATCCTGATTTTGTGTATTTGATTACCTAATAAAATGTAAAGCTAACACTTTTTTTTTTAAAAAAGTCCATGTTCTTTTTTTTGCAGACTTAGGACAAAACAGCAATTTTCACCAAGATGTCTATTTTCTAGAAAACTGAGAAATTTCTGTTTTTGTTTGACTTAAGTTTTTATTTTAATATTATTTTCAGTAATGATCCCTTTCATCTCCCTTGTGGTATTTAACACTATTTTTTTTTTTTATATTTCATGAACTGTAATTTCTAGAGCTATATAGAAGATAATGATTTTTTGTAGTGATTTTAGTAGAAATGTCTCTATTATATCATCATTAATCTTGATACTGGGAGGTAGGTTTCCTCTCATCAGAAAGTTTCTTTTTATTCTTATTTTTGAAAAATTGTAAAATTAACACTAGTTTTAAATTTTACCAAATGCCCTTTGGTATCTGTTGTAGTAAGAACAAGCTTTAAATATTTGATCCATTTATGTCAAGTATTATAGCAATAGATTTCCTATTATTGAGCCTTCCTTATAGTCCTGGAATCAACTCTATCTGGTCACTTTTGATTAAAAAAAAAATCTATTTGTGGATAATTTACTTAGGAACTTTACATCTATAGTCATAGAAAAGATTTGATTGTAATCTCATCTTTGTTTTTGTACTTTGTGTCCTCTTGTCTTTTTTGTTTATTAGTTCTATACCAAGTAGTTAATTTTATTTATTTTTCTATGTTTTTAAAATACAATATGGTAGTTAGCCATTCCTTGAAAGTTTGAAACAATTCACCAGTAAAATAATCTGTGCCAAGATCTTTTTTCGGAATACTTCTTTATATTAATGTGTTCAGTTTTTCCTTACTCATTAGTTCACTTTTTTTTTCTTCCAGATCTGTAGAAACTTCCAATGTGTAAATGCTTCTGTTCTGAATTACGACTGTGATATTCAAAAAAAGTGTTATGGACATGGGGTAGGTAATAGTCTTCTTTGGCTTGTTCATGAAATTCGTGTTGACTAATTAGAATTCCCAGTGAGGATAGGAGACACCTTTCATGACTTTCATGACTTTTCTAGGTATTGGGGAATTTAGATTTCCAGTAAACTGCATTCTTCAAATTAGTGTATATGAATTTACAAGAGAATCCTTTCTCTTGGTTTCCATTCATGAATTGATGATACAAAGCAGCATTCACAATTAACAAAAGTGGTATTTTTATTGTTTTGAAGGTATGTAATAGCAATAAGAACTGTCACTGTGAAAATGGCTGGGCTCCTCCAAATTGCGAGACTAAAGGATATGGAGGAAGTGTGGACAGTGGACCCACATACAATGGCAAGTAATGTAGAAGAAAATAAGGGTAATCTCCCAGTGGCCCAAGTCAGAAATTGGGCATCCTTATGCCTCTCCCTCACTTTCCACATTAGTTAAAGATTAAATTATGTTAATTCTGTCTCTTAAATTCTTTACCAGTATTTCCATTTTTTAAAAAGTTTCCATTTATTACCTTTAGTTCCTTGCCTGAACTTATGTAAGTAGCCTCTTAATAAGGCCCCTTGTTTTCCTCTTGCTTCCTATAATCCACATTTCACACACATCACAGAGTTGAATGTTTTCCTTCAAAGATTTCAGTTCTGGTAATGTCAGTCTTCTGCTTTAAATTCAGTGATTCTTCATTCATAGGGCAGGCTGGGAAGCAGGAGTGGAGTGATTTGGAACAGCTAAGGAAGACAAGCTTGTCTGTCAGTTTGTTGTACTGTGGTGGCTTAAATGTTGCTGTGAGGCTTCTGCAGTCTGAAAGTGATCAAACGTGCAATCAAGATGTGTTGATTATCACTGGTGACTGGAATGCACAAGTTGGAAACAAAGAAGAATCATCAGTAGTTGGAAATTGTGGCCTTGGTTATAGAAATAATTCTGGAGATTACATGATAGAATTACATGATAGAACGACTTATTCATTAAAAATACCTTTTTTCAACAATACAAATGGTGGCTATACACGTGGACCTTACCAGAAGGAGTACACAGGAATCAGATTGACTACATTTGTGGCAAGAGACGATGGAGAAGCTCAGTGTCTTCAGCCAAAACAAGGCCAGGAGCTGATTGTGGAACAGACCATCAACTACTCATATGCAAGTTCAAGTTGAAGTTGAAGGCAATTAAAACAAGTCCATGAGAGCCAAAATATGACCTTGATTTTATTCCTCCTGAATTTAGAGTCTGAAGAACAGATTTGATGCTTTGAACCAATGACCGAAAACCAGAGGAATTGTGCGATGACATCAAGAATATCATCCATGAAGAAAGCAAAAGGTCATTAAAAAGACAGGAAAGGAAGAAAAGACCAAAATGGATGTCAGAAGAGACTCTGAAACTTGGCCTTGAATGAAAAGTAGCTAAAACAAATGGAAGAAATGACAAGATAAAAAAGCTGAACAGAAGATTTCAAAGAGCAATTTGAGAAGACAAACTCAATTACTATAATGAAACGTGCAAAGACCTGGAGTTAGAAAACCAAAAGGGAAACCAGCATTTCTCAAAACTGAAGAAAAAATTTAAGTCTTGAGTTGCAATATTGAAAGATTCTATGGGCAATATATTGAATGATGCAGGAAACATCAAAAGAAGATGGAAGGCATGCACAGTCACTGTACCAAAAAGAGTTGGTTGATGTTCATCCATTTCAGGAGGTGGCATATGATCAAGAACCAGTGGTATTGAAGGAAGAAGTTGAAGCTGCATGGAAAGAACTGGCAAAAAACAAGGCTCCAAGAATTGATGGAATACCCATTGAAATGTTTCAACAAACAGATGCAATGCTGGAGGCATTCACTTGGCTATTTCAAGGGATTTGGAAGACAGCTACCTGGCCAACTAACTGGAAGAGATCCATATTTGTACCCTTTCCAAAGAAAGGTGATCCCACAGAATGTGGAAATTATTGAACAATATCATTAATATAACGTGAAAGTTGAAGATAATTCAAAAATGATTACAGCAGTATATTGACAGAGAGATTCCAGAAATGCAAGTTGGATTCAGAAGAGGACATGGAATGAGGTATATCATTGCTGATGTCAGATAGATCTTGGCTGAAAGCAAAGAATACCAGAAAGATGTTTACTTGTGTTTTGTTGACTTTGCAAAAGCATTCAATTGTTTGGATCATAACAAATTATGGATAATGTTGAGAAGAATGGGAATTCCAGAACATTTCATTGTACTCATGAGGAACCTGTACATAGATCAGGGGGCTGTTGTTCAAACAGAACAATGGGACACTGCATGGTTTAAAATCAGGAAGGGAGTGTGTCAGGATTGTGTCCTTTCACCATACTTGTTCAATTTGTATGCTGAGAAAATAATTTGATAAGGTGGATTATATGAAGAAGAACATGGCATCAGGATTGGAAGAATACTCACTAATAACCTGCGATATGCTGACGACACAACTTTGCTTGCTGAAAGTGTGGATGACTTGAAGCACTTACTGAAGATGATTAAAGACTACAGTCTGCAGTATAGATTACATCTCAATATAAAGAAAACAGAAATCCTCACAACTGCACCAATAAGCAGCATCACAATATCACAATAAATGGAGAAAAGGTCGAAGTTGTCGAAGACTTCATATTACTTGATTCTACAATCAACACCAGTGATTGTATTGCTTTGGACAAGTCTGCAAAAGGCCTCTTCCAAGTGCTGAAGAGCAAAGATAATCTCCTTGAAGATAAAGGTGCGCCTAACCCAAGCCGTGGTATTTTCAGTCACCTCATGCATTTGAGAGCTGGACAATGAATAAGGAAGACCAAAGAAAAGTTGATGCTGTTGAGTTGTGGTGTTGGAGAAGAATACTGAAAGTAACATGAACTGCTAAAATAGTTAACAAATCTGTCCTGGTAGAAATGCAGCAGTAATACTTCTTGGAAGCAAGAATGGGCAGACTTTGTCTCACCTACTTTGGTCATGTTGTCAGAAGGGACCATTCTCTGGAGAAGGATACCGTGCTTGGTAAAGTGGAGGATCAATGAAAGAGGGGAAGGCCCTTAACAAGATGAATTGACACAGTGGCTGCAACGATGGGCTTAAGCATAGCAAAGATCAGGGAGCTGGCACAGGACTGGGCAGTGTTTTATTCTGTTGTACATAGGGGCACTATGAGTCGGAGATACCTCGATGTCACCTAACAGCAACAACAGTGGAATGAAATCCAGAGAGCCATGACGTGGCTATAAGGGGTTGCATGATTTGCCCCAGCTTACCTTTTCAGCCTTATTTTGCTTTGTTTTAAGACATTGGAACTAATTTAATTTCTTCTGACAGGCTATTCTGTCTTACATCTGGGCCTTTGGGCCATCTTACTTGCATGTGGCTAGATCTCAGCTAATTGCTACTTAGGTTGATATGTTATTTCCTTTAGGAAGTTTTCTGTGATGGACTAAAGATGGATTAATATGCCCCTTATAGTTATTCTTTTAGTACTGTTCACACTATCACATACTATGGTAATTACCCTCTGTTTACCAGTATATTCCTAGTGAGCATATATGCTTTTTTTCTCTTGGGTATATACTAGTTGGAATGGCTGGGTCATATTGTAAGTGCATGTTTCACTTTTAAAGAAACTGCCAAACTGTTTCCAAAAGTAGTTGGACCATTTTTCATTTTCACCAGCTATATATGATGGTTCTGTTTTCTCTATATTCTTGCCAACACTTCATGTACCAGTCTTTTAAATTTTAGCTATTCTAATAAGTGTGCAGTAGTGATATTTTCATTGTGGCTTTAATTTGCATTTCTCTAATGACTAATAATGTTGAGCATCATTTTATGTGCTTATTTGCTATTCATATTCTTCTTTGGCAATATATTTGTTCAGATCTTTTGCCCATTTTTAATTGGGTTGTTTGTCTCATTTTTACTGAGCTTTGAGAGGTCTTTGTATATTCTGGATACAAGTTCTTTATTAGATGTGTGTGTTTTTCTCCCAATTTACTTACTTTGGATTTCATTTATTCTTCCTTTCTCTAGTTTCTTAAGGTAGAAGACAAGATCATTGACTTGAAGCCTTTTTTAACTTTTCTGATTTAGGATTTCAGTCCTGTAAACTTTTATCTAAGTAATGCTTTTTTAAAAATTATATCCCACAGATTTTGATATGTTACCATAAAGAAATTAAGATTACCCACAAAGTTTGGTCTTTGTCCTTGGTTCCAGAAAGATAACCTCTAACATCTTGGAATTTCCTCAGTGATTGAAGTATCTTTTATCTGTATTTGTAAGGCGTCTGGTTTACAGCTGAGGCTTTATGCCAATGAGGGGTCTCTTGAGTGAGGGTTAGCTAGATCAGAAAGACCCACTATATAGTATCAGCTTATCCTGAGGGGAGGGGAGCTGGAAGATGATTCAATCAATCATGGCTATGTAATAAGGCACAAAAAAGGCTCTGGACATGGATGTTCCATGAGCTTCATGGTTGGCAAAAAACATCATCAGTTCTTGGGAGAACAATGTACCCTTTTTGAAATGCGAAAGTTCTGCATTGCAGACCTTCCCTCCCAGACTTCATCCTATGTGCCTCTTCTTTATGCTATGCTGAATTTATATCCTTCATAATAAAACTCTTATTAATGAGTTTTACACAAATAGTGGGAACCAGAAGATCAGAAATGAGGGGGACCTGAGGGGACCCCCAAAATTATGGCTAGAATTCTGATGCGATAGTGGGAAAACCCCAAATTTGCAGCCAATGGGTCACAAGTAAGGGAGTTGTAGAGACCCCAAGCTTGTAGCTGATACCTTAAATCTTGATAAACTTCCGGTCTGGAGGACTGTGCCCTTTAATTTGTGAGGTTTGACCTAGCTTTGGCTGGTTAGTACTGCGTGTACAGTTGGAATAGGAATTGAAGTAGTTGGGAGTAGATAGAAATTGATTAAGACAGTTGTGATTTCATTTTTTTCTTTGACCCAAGAATTATTTAGAAGTATTTCCAATTATTTTATTTCCATTTATTTGAATATATCCCAGATATCTTAAAGTTAATGCTTTCCAGTTTTATTCTAGTGTAGTCAAAGAACATTCTTTGTATGTGCTTAATCCTTTTAGGTTTTTTGAAATTTGTCTTTTGACCCACAGTATGGCTTATCTTGGTAAATGTTCTATGTACACGTGAAAATAGTGTGTATTCTACTGTTGCTGGGTAGCATGTTCTGTGAGGATCAGCTAGGTCAAGTTGGTTGATAGGTATGTAAATCTTTTATATCCTTACTGATTTTCTGTCTATTTGCTTTGTCAATTATTGAAAAGATTGTAATGTAGAGCTGCT